GAGATCGCCTGCCTGCAGAAGCGGGTGGCGCAGCTGGAGGAGCGGCTGGAGTCCGAGCTGGGCGTCAAGACGGGGCTCGAGCAAAAGGCAAGTGCTGCTGGCCCCGGGGCGTGGGCAGGGACAGGGGTTCCCCAGGGTCACAGCGAGGAGCGGGGCTGCTGCTAGAGCCCGTTGTCCTCTCCTCGCTCCCAGGGCGGGCAAAGCTTCGCAGGACTGAGGCTCAGAAATGCAGCTGTTTGCTGCTGATGCTCTCACTGACCAGGGGAAACCGGCTGTTTTCTGCTGGTTTAAGAATAAATACCCCAAAGCTTCCTTCAAGCTTAAAAAATTACTTTTGCACCAGAACACGGCAAAATTCGACGTTGGTCAAGCGTGAGCGTGAGCGCAGGGTGGAAAGCTGTGGGGTGGAGAGAGGCTCGGTGGTGGGTCTTGGTGTTGGTCTGGCTTTTGGATACTGGACTGGGTTGTGCTGACACCATCTGTCACACAAAGAGCTGGCAGTTCCCAAGCTTTGCCCTGCAGAGGGAAAAAGCCAATGTGCTTCCCTGAGCAGTGCCTGGGAGTCAGGTCACTTCCCATAAGGATAAAATAAAGAAATAAATATTATTCATGGTACATTAAAAAGTAATAAGAAAAGCAGCCCAGTCTTAGGAGCTTGGGTAAAGCAAAACAGCCCATTTGCTTTCAGATAGTTAGTTTGGAATTACAGGCTTCATTAATGCAAGATTTTGCTTATTTAAAGTCATTGCTTAATGACTCCATTCTCTGGCTGGTGAAAGCTCTGCATGTCTCTCTGCCCCAAACACGATGCGAGTCCTTGGGGGATCCAGCTCATTCCATCCAGGCACTGCCTTTCACAGAGAAACGGGATCAGGCGTCCACTCCTGGGGCAGCTTCGCTGACTCAGCAGGAGGGCTGGGATGCTGCAGGCACACGGGAAGGTGCCTGGAGTGTTGAGGGGTCGGGGGACCTAAATTTGTCCTTGTTTGGCAAAAGATTTCTGGCTGAACCATCCCTTGGGGCTGGAGCGGGGCTGAGCCCCGGGCGGGGAGCGGTTGCGGGGTGCGTGTGCTGTAGGGGCCCTCCGCCGCTCACCTCCACCTCTGCCCGCAGCTCAGCGAGGTGCAGGCAGCGTGTGAGGCAGCCAAGAAGGTGAGCCAAGAAGGTGTCCCAGCAGCTGCGGCGGCGGTGCAGGCAGCTGGCCTGTGAGCTGGAGGATGCACGGGTGCTCGCCGAGAGCCAGCAGAGCCGCAGCCACGAGCTGGAGAAGAGGCAGAAGAAGTAAGGCTGGTGGGAGCGCAGGCGAGGGCTGGGGCTGCTAGAGCGGGAGTGCAGGGGATGGGGATGCTTAGGGTGGCTTCGGGTGAGGAGTTCCTGGAAGGGCTGCTATTTTCATCTATTTCGACTGCTGGAGGTTGCACCAAGCTGGGAGGTTTTTTTAACATCCCGTTGCTGTGTGACTGTAATGCGCTTCCATAACAGAAATCACTCCCAGTGCAATGCTTGGTGGCACCGTGGGGAGAACTGCCTGGGGCTCGGAGACCATGCTGGCTCCCGTGTGGGTGCGGGGGCACGTTCGTGCCGGGGTGTCCCAGGCTTTGGTGTACCCTCGGCGCAGACATGCCTGCGCTGGGAGTGCTGCTGGCAAACCGGGCACCTGGTGTGGAGGAGAGGAGCCCTGTAGCCAAGAAATGACCCCCAGCGTTTTAATGCTGCCATTTGATACCAGTGAATGAAATAGGTTTTCTGCCCAGAAACAGGATACCAAGAACAAAAGGCACAGAAAACATGGGAAATCACCAATCGCTTCCTTTATAATTTCTTTTAATTTACACTTTATTGCTGGTATTCCCTGCTTGCCTGTGCTGAGACACCGACTGTGGGCTGGGGCTTGGTCTGGCCCAGAGATATGAAAGTGCTGAGAAGCTCTGAGGATTATTGCTCCAAAGCAGCGATTCTTCCTGGGCTGAAGCCAAGCCCTTGGTGCAGCAGAGTCCCGGCTGGCCCTGGGGACGGAGCTGCCTGCGGTGGCAGGGGGCAGCTGCCCACGCACAAGCACGTTTTGTGGTGTTTTGGGTCTGTAGCAGCTGATTGCAGCAGTTTTTTGCGCTCTGCTTTTGGTGACTGCCTGTGTGCACACCGCTGCTGCTCCACGCTGTCCGCTTCCCACGGCTGGCATTTGTGCGGAGTAATTAGGGATTCACAAAACGATGGCAGCACTTTGCAGACAATAAGCTTTTTTTTTTTTTGTCCTCTCAAAAGCACTTAGAAAGTCCAGTGCCAGGAGAAGCGGCTTGCCGCCTGCTGAGCCTGTCTCCCTGCCTGCCTTGGCGCAGCTCCCCTGGCCAGGAGGCAGCCATGCTGCCGTCACAGAACTGCTTGGGAGAGGTAACGTGTGTTTCCCCCTCCAGGTTTGACCTGCAGTTAGCCCAGGCCCTGGGAGAGTCTGCCTTTGAGAAGAGCCTCCGTGAAAAAGTGTCACAGGAGAACACCAGCATCCGATGGGAGATGGGCAAACTTCAGCAGAGCTTACAGGTAAGAGGGAAATATCCCACTTTGCTGCATTATATCCAGGTTTGGGAGCAGCTCTCAGAGCAAAGCCATTATCTTTGCAATTACAGCAGAGGCAATCAGGCATAAACCCAGCAACTTGATTCCAGTTTCTTTTAGCGCAGATCTAGGATGTGCCTGATGTATTTAAATAATATTATCCTCTGCCAGAAGAAAGGCTATCACTTTTTACAAGTGATACCCATCCCATGGTTTAGCTAATTAGGCCCACCCTCATTTTCACTGAAGTCACTTCACGCCTCTACGCACAACCTCACCTGCAAGAAGCCACAGGTCTGTGCCCCCATGGGACAGTGCTGCACTGGGCGCCTGCCGAGCCCCCCGCAGCAGCAGGGGCACGGTGT